ATGCCTTGGTTTTCATTTCCACACAGTTGGGCTCCCTCACTGTACTTCTCAACTGGGTAGCTACATCCATATACAAGGAAGACTGCTTAAATGTTCAACTGCAGTATCATTTCCAGAAAACTTTTCCCCATTCACATACAAATATCCATAAAGCTGGAAGGGCCCTTCTTTGGGTAGGCCTCTCACAAGGCAATTTGGTGGTGACTATTAGTAATACAAAAGCAACAGGTTCCAGCAAAGTCAGGATATATCTCATTCTTCTTCATCTGTCTTTTTCTACTGAGGAAAAAATTAATTTCATTCCCCTCAAATTCAGTCTCTCATGGCTGCTCTGAAAGTAGACTGAGTTCTGAGGAAATTCTCTAGCAGAACTTGGAGGCCTAAGTAGAACTTAAATGACCAGGTTGGAAATACCAAGAAGAACCACATGTCTCAGGCCTAAAAGACAGTTAATGTAATTATCTTCAAGGTATAGCTCTCAAGAACACTGGCCCTAGTCACATGTATTGGTCTCTTCTTGCTAAACGGTCGCTGAAAATGTATTCTTTAATCAATCAGGGCTTGGGAGTGCCCACCATAAACAACCACCATCTCTAGAGGCATCACTAAAAACCCCCTGGAAGTGCTAGAGGCTATTCCAGGTCAGCTTCTTCTCTGCTTCCCAACCTCAACTTCAACAAGATCATTCAGTTCCAATCCTAGACAGCAACACCAAGGGTTCTGGACTGGGCCTGACTTGGCAGTTTTTATTCAATATTAGAATGAAGGGAAACACTTGTAAGTCATTCAAGTTAACAAAAGGGGATTGACTTAGCCATATCAGGAGAAGGATATTCAATCAAGACTTGTGTCGAGGATATTATGAAGCTCTTCTGCCTCTGAGTTGCCCATCCTGGTCTTCCTGGCCAAGCATCAGAACCCTCCTTGAGCTCCTCTTGGCTGTTTGTAATCAATTAACCAGGAACTGATGGTGCTAACAGCTTAATCCTGTAGTATTGAGCCAATCAAGGGTCAGAAATGGTTTTAATAACTTTTAAGGAAAAATTAGCCTGATTTGCATAGGGGCAGGGAGTCATGATATTGCTTCCCCATGGTGGAATTTTTCTGCCAGTATTAGCAAAATGCTGGCACACAGTAGGCATTTAATAAATGTTTATTGACTTGACTTGGATACCTAGCTCCTGCCTAAGCTATATACACACATATGTAGAGAGAGCCCAATATGTGTATAAGTGTGTATATTTACACGTGTATGTATATATATACATATCCTATGTATTTATGGATTGCAATATCCCATAGTATATCATGTATGCATACATACTATGTATCCTAAGTATTCCTGGCATTTTATGAAAGACACATGTAACATATACACAAATGTACACAACACGCATGTACATATATATACATGTATCTACAATGTATTCTATGTGTATCTAATATATAGTAAATGTATGCATATGTGTCTGTATATATACATATTGTTGTTCAGTCATTTCAGTCATGTCTGACTCTTTATGACCCTATTTGGGGTTTTCTTGGCAAAGATACTGGAGTAGTTTACCATATCCTTATCCAGCTCCTTTTATAGATGAGGAAACTAAGGCAAACAGGGGTAAGTGACTTGTCCAGGATCACACAGCTAGTAAGTATCTGAGGCCAGATTTGAACTCAGGAAGATGAGTCATCCTGACTCTAGGCCCTGAACTCCATCCACTGTACCATCTAACTGCCCCGTATGTACAAATTTACAAAATCTACATGTGTATATATGTATATATTGCATTGTCTTTCATAAATGACATTATATATATATGTGTGTTTATATATAAAGGTATGTATAACATATGTCTTTCATGAAATGACTAGAATACTTGGGATACATTGTCTGGCATGGTGTAATTTGGCCTCAATGGGGTCTATAAGGTCAGAAAGAAAGGATCCAAAAACAGTGGGAAAGGCATGCATTAGGTCTTTCATGGCCTAGGGCAGCCCTTGGCCTATATGTCTTATCTTTCAGATATTGGTGGAATGGAATTCATCTGCTGAAAACATACAGATCTCATCAACTCATCTTAGAGGGTTACCTGGGGTACTTGCTGATGGCCATATAGTCAACAGTCATGCTGCCTTTTTCAATAATGTATGTTATCTTAAAACAATTGCTTCTTTTCAGGAGGATAGTCCATGATTGCAGTGAGGGGAAGATGAACTACATAGAGACATTGGATGAACAAAGCTGGCACCTACTCCCTTCCTCTTACTCTAATTATGCTCTGGCCTCCTGAAAGCTATCCCACAGTCAAGGTATACTTCCGGTCAGCAGGATCCACTCAAAATCCCAGCTCTCCAATCAAAGGACATATCTTAAAGGAAAAGATAATTAAACAGCTTAGCAAAACAATTACAAAAAACTATAAGCAAACTATCCCTCCACCACCACACAAGGTTATACTTTTCACCATATCTCCACATCACCTTTCTTTACCTTCTTACCTTTAGCACAAGGAAATACATGCAGGGAATGGACCTGAAATCAGAAAGACCTGAGTTCAAATTCTGCCTTAGACATTTACTAGCTGGGCAAATCACTTAGCCTCTTTCAGCCTCAGTTTCTTCATCTGTAAAATGGGGATAATAAATTCCCAGGGTTGTTGTGAGGATAAAATGAGATGATATTTGTAAAGCACTTTGCAAACCTTAAAGTGCCCTATAAATGTGAGTTGTTGTTGTTGTTGTTATCATTCAGGTAACTCATGATCGGTGCTGCATCCCTGTTGGGACTCATCTGTCCATCTGATGCTGTTACTGGTTTTTCTTTCCACTGAGATACTAATGCCAACTGACTGATTCAGTATTATAATGCTGGGCCTTTCTATTCTTTTTTTAAAGCACATTTCTTTTTATTTGATTTCTTTTAAATTTTTTTTCAAGGCAAAATTTTTTTTCAATGGTTAAGTGACTTGCCCAGGGTCACACAGCTATTAAGTGCCAAAGTATCTGAGGTCACATTTGAATTCAGGTCCTCTTGACTCCGGGGCACGTGCTCTATCCACTGTGCCACCTAGCCACACCTCCTTTCTATTCATGTAAGAGAGGGGTGTCCCACCTCTCCCATCCAGTTCTTTTTGAAAATCATCTCAGAGGTATCTCATTCTTTCGAGATTTAAATCAAAGCCACAACTGGGCAAATGAAGCCCTCAGGATAGACTATGGTTACTATTAAATCTGTCTTTTGAATACCCTGAATTCTATCTGAGCTGCTACTCCATGAGTTCAGTTCTTTATTTTAGAATAAGAGAATTCCTTTAAAGGTCTTTCCATTCTCATAATACCTAGGTATTTTATTTAAATCAAAGTTACAACTGGGCAAATGAAGCCCTCAGGATAGGCTAGGGTTACTATTAACTCTGTCTTTTGAATACCCTGAATTCTATCTGAGTTGCTACTCCATAGGTTCAGTTCTTTATTTTAGGATAAGAAAATTCCTTTAAAAGTCTTTCCACTCTCATAATACCCATGGTGGTTCATGCAAATGACCATACTGGGAACAAGTTTGGAAGGGCAGAGAACTAGAAATAAGATCCCTGATACAGACACAAACACACACACACACACACACACACACACACACACACATTTTTCAAAGTTTGAAGTGCTATATGTCAGTAATTAATCCCTTCATAGAACACTTTTTGTCCATTTTTTGGGTTTATCAGCCAGAGGAATCTCCTCAATGATTCTTTTCCATGCCTTCCGTGGGAAGCTAAAAGGGATCTTTCTTTTGTCTCAACATTCACAGCACATTGTACCTCTCTAGTCACCTGCCACATATTACCACATATTGTTAAATGTATACATGTTTGCACTACAAGATCATAAGCTCCTTGAGCACAGGGACCTTGCTTTTGCATCCTTCACTAGGCAAATGCACATGATAGATGTTCAATCACTATGTCTTGAGTAAATATTTTAGATTGTGTCCTGTGAGGCAGGCTCTTCTGGGTCTCACTTTTTAATCTGCTTCTCCTTCCTCAGAATGGCATTTGTATTACTAGGCCAGCTTGAGAAAGTCTGCTTCTGTTGCAGGTGATTTCCTGTGAAAGTTGGGGTACCAAGGCAGGTGCCAAGGATTGTGCATGATTTAAGTAAAGTGGAAGCCATAAATAGCCCCACTTTGGCTTGGAGTAACTTAAAAGCCATTCTACCCTCTCTAGGTAACGAAAGGTGATTTTGAGATTCTATAGCTATCTTCCCTCCCTACCAGTGGTCTGCCTGACTCACCAAGTCCTCCTGGTGAGGTATTTCTGCTTGGTGATTTTCATAAAAATTGACCTTCAAACATAATTTTTCAATTTTTTCAATTTTCAAACCACCTCCATCCATTATCTCATCTGATCATTACAGCTGGGGTGCAACAGAAAGAGTGACGAACTTGGACTGAAGGACCTGAGTTTGCATCAAGATTCTGCCACTTGCTACCTACTTTAACCTTTCTGGGTCTCAGTTTCCTTATGGAAAAATGAAGGGGTTGAACTAGATGACCTCTAAAGTTGCTTGCAGGTCTAAATCCATGATCCTTTCATTCTGTGAACTCTGTTAGGTAGGTAGGTATTCTAGGTGCTATTCTCCCCATTATACAGCTGTGCTCTGTGGTCTTCTGTAAAGGACAGGGAAAATGCAACGGTTCTTTGTGGACTCTCGGTCTAGGTTTCCAGATTCTGCGTTGTCTGTAAGGGGGAAAGGAAGGGAGTAGCAAAAGACTACATTCGGTGGCTTTGGGTGGACAAGAAGGAAGAACTTCTTGGTTGGGGGCAGGGGGTGAGAAGGACTGGGCAGGGCAAGGCCTTGTGTGTACAGATCAACCTCTCAGTCAATCTACACGTCTTCCTCCATTAAAGGCCACTTCTCAGTCCTTCCTCCATGCCCAGCCTGGCCCCACCCGATCCACACGTGGGTTCCCGCACGTCCGCTCCCAGCCTCTAGTGACGTCAGCTTTTCTCGGACACATATAAGGCCCCGCCCGCTACCTCGAGTCGCGCGAGTCTGGGAGCAGCAGTCTCACACTGAATTTAGAACTTTCGCATCCCAACCAGCAACCTCGGTTCGTGCTCGGGTATTATTGGGAAGCAAATGGGGCAGGGAGGGAAGGGTGCAAGAGCAATCGGGAAATCAGCGGATCTGGCTCCCACAATGGGAAGGAACAGGGACGGTTCTCACTTGCGGGGGTGGGGTGGGGGGGTGGTCTGACTTGGTGTGCTGGGCGTCTGGGGGTCCAAAGAGGTCTTGGCTCAGAGCCGACTCGACACTGCCCCGGCCAAGGCATGGGGTGGATAAGTTTTGGCCCACCCTGCCTGTGCAGGAGTGAGTTAAGAATGCTGGCATGGTCTCGTGCTCTGGACCATGCGGTCCACTCTGTTCGTTTTCCATTGACTTCTGGCTCCAGCGTGCCAAACTCATATCTCAGTTCTATTCCCCTGTGGCCAGTCCCTAGTTTTCTTGCGTGCCCTTGCTGCAAGCTGGGGCTGCGAGTTTGCACCTGGATGGAGTAGGAGTCGGAGTCTGTGGCAAGGACTCCCTTTGGGCCTCTGGGCCATGTGGGGATGAATAGTTGGACCGATATTATTACTTTAGTGACTGCTTTTTGTTCTGCCCCACTGCGCGCGGAGTGGGGGGTGGGGGGGGAAGAAGGGAGAGGGCTTCAGGGACCGATTGGCCAAATGGTTGTTCCCCAGGAATCTGAGCTAGGGTAGTGCATTTCCCCATGCACTGCCGACCCTGAAAGAGCTTCAGCTCCGTAGGGTAGGAGGCAGACTACTAGAGAGGAAAAACCCAATCTGCTTTCTTAGTCTGATCTGAGAGCGAGAGCTTCCCGGAGGCTTCCCGAGGAAAGCATGCTCAGAGGTTGAATGGGTTATTAAGGCGGAGACTACTAAGAGCACTGAGATGGGGGAGGGGGTGAAAGGGATGTCTCTCCATCCTGTACCCTCGCCCTGCTGGCCGCTTGCTTAAGCGCTGAAGCCTTTGACTTGCAATATCCTAAGTCTCAGCAACCCATACTTTTATTAAACGTCTATGTGCCAGGTGCTGGAGCTCCAGGACCAATGTGTTCGGAAGATGAGCTCCTTAACTGCAGAATAATCCTCCTTGGCTAGTGTTGCGTTGTAACCGGAGACTTGATTTCAAGTGAGGGACTAAGGTTTAAATTCCCCTGGAGGGTTTTCCTGCTGGACTGATTGCAAAATCCATGATGGTCTATGATTTAGGGTTTGACCTTTTCCTTAGAGGGAACCCCCCCTCCCCTTTTTTTTGTCTAGTGTAACTCTCCAACATTTTTAACCCCTACTGTGTTAGAGCCAGACGCAGAAAATTCAATTCAATATTTTATATAATTTTTATATAAATAATACAACAATATACATAAATTATATGTATATATGTATTAAAATTTATATAATTATCGAGAGCCATCTCAACCAAACCGGTTCTGAATTTTGCGAGCAACCTGTATATTGTCAGAACTTAAAAGATGAGAGAATGCTGTTGGTTTAAAGTCTTTCACATCAGTAATTTTATGGGCTTTGAATATGGACTGGGATTGACCAGGAGATTTGGGTTCTAATCACAGCCCTGCAACAATGTTGCACTGGGCAAGTCCCTTAGTGTTTCTACTTCTCTACAAATAGAAAAGGTTGGACTGGTGATCTTTTAAAGGCTCTTGGAGCTTTGGGTTGGTTTAGACCTAAGGTTTAAGGCTGAGGCTTGATGGAGCAGTTTTTGGAAGCAGTTTTTGCTTCTTGGTCTTGCCAGTTTCATTCTTTAAGAGTGTCTGCTGCTTGGACAAAATGTATTTGCAATCAAGTAAGAACTATTTGAGTGCCTTCTGTGTGCCAGGCACTGCCTAAGGCTGTAAATGTCATTTATTATATAGTGTTACTTTTTATAACATTTAATATATAAAATTTGATATATAAAGTAAGAAACAATATATAGGATTATAGATACCATACATATTATGTTCATTATATATAGGGTTACTTTTATTATAAGATTTACTATTACAGGGTTATACACACACACATATGGTTCTAGGTAGGTAACATTGTATATGGTGTTGCATTTAACCACACCCGAAATATGTGTCTCCTATTTATTAGCTTATCATTAGATACAACCACACACTCACAAAATCCTAAAAGGTAGCTCACTTCTAATTGTGAGAACTGAATCTGAGATGAGGGATTAGATTTCAAAAGCCCCTTCAGATTCTACCATCCTAAAGTTCTATAAAATACAAAGAAACTTAGTCTTTGTAACCACAGTGCTGTATTTGCAAATACACTCCTCTCGAGTGTTCCAGGCTGGTTCACCTCCTGTTGCAGAATTGCTTCACTCTCCGACTACATGCTTATTGTGGGGTGTGTTGCAATAATGAAATGATTGCTGAAGAAGGAAATGGAGAGTTTATAGATTCCGGTTTAAAAAATACTCTCTTCCTCAACGATTTCCTGGTTTTCGGTCCTATGTCTAGTTTGAGGCTGCAATACCTGATTCACGTGTCTTCTACAATCAGCTTTTGTTGTCTAACTTGGACGGGACACCACTGATTGCTACTGATAGTCATTGCTTCACTTTTGGAGTTTCTCCTAAGGAAGTGAGATTTTATGATCAGAAGGGGGAGGAGTCCATTGAAACCTACCGCATCCTATTCCTTGTGGTGTCCTAGGCTCGGAGAGTGGGGTGGAGCAAGGTCTCTTAGAAAGCCTAGGGAAGAGGAAGCGGGTAACTCCGAACTCAGAAATTGGGGAGGAGGGGGGAAGAGATGGTTATGCTCCTAACAAGAGACGTACACCACCATTCCCTTCCCCTATGCCCTTTTCTTTCCTTCTGGGAGGCAGTAGACCTGTGGAAGCAGAATTCGGCTTCCTTCCAAAGAGGAGCTGCAAATGGGCTTTGCTAGGCCCCCCCCCCCTTACCCCTAACCCCACCTGCATATGCGCACGCGCAGAGGCAGTGAGTCACTTGGGACTTGGCCAGAACTGCAGGGAGGAGAGAAGAGACGCGCATGTGCAATGCTGGCGGCAGGCTGCCTCCCGGTCCTGTCCCTTAGACCGTTAATGGCAGTTCCCTTTTACTCATTCTGCTCCCCACATGAGCGGCCAGACAGGGCGGCGTATTGTGAGCCCTACTGTGCTGCGAGAACTGGAGTAGGAGTCCGCCCCAACTTCTTGGCAGAGACAAAGGCAACAGTGAAATTCCTTTTAAAAAATCAGCTCAGAGGTCCATGGGGCAATATGGCTTCAGGAGGCCACACTTACCAACAAACAACCTTAGTCTGTGTGAAGACAAAGGTGAGGGAGTGGGAGCCTCCCCATCACTGCCCCCCAACTTATACTTTTCACTTCCTCCTCCATCCTTGGGTCCTTTTTTGATCTAGTTCCCTCCCCCACTTCCCAGGTTCCCTTGTCTTTACAAGCTATATGCCTACCAAAGCAAGGACAGACTTCAGCAAGCCTGCCAATAAAGTCTAGTTAGTATGGTTAAGTAACTCATGATGATAATGTGATTAGCTCCAACAGTGAAATGATTTTTTTTTGTTGTTGTTTTATTAAACCTTCATTCTCCCACACCCCCAGATCTCCCACAAAATGGCAACTTCTGTCAAGAATCAGCTGATTGTGAATGTCCTAAAGGAAGACCAGGTTCCCCAAAACAAGATCACTGTTGTTGGGGTTGGTGCAGTTGGCATGGCATGTGCCATCAGTATCTTAATGAAGGTAAGTAATAGCACTGTGTGGGTCAGAGGCCTGAAAGTCAAATAACTTTCAGTTCATTCATAGGAATGATGCCATGTACTTAGTACCAGTGGATTGATTCCACAAGCATTTTATTAAGTGCTAGGTACTGAGAATTAAAAAAAAGACAAAAATAAGGGCAGTTTCTACCCACTAAGAGTTTATATTCTCCTGAGGGAAAACACAATCTACCAAAGTTCACAAAGGGCATTAAATACAATGTGAGGGAGTTTTCATCCAAAATTCTTAAGGGAGAGAGAATATATAATAAAGATCTACATATTTCATATTACCTGTGTAGATTTTCAGATATGTAGGTTTATTTTATATAAAGTAACTAAGGTTTATTTATGTCTAAACTAGAGTGGACTATACTGTGTCCAGTGCTATAATTCTTTCTGAAGCGGAACCTGCTGCCAGCTACAAGTGCCTCTCCTCACACTGGCAATTTACCCCATGACTATTGCCAATGAGAGCTTGTGAACTAGGTGTAAGATGTGACTGCCTGGGACTGTCTCAACTGCAGGAAATCTTGTTTTTAAAAGTTGAGTTATGATTTTCTTTGTTTTATCTGATGTCTCACACGCTCAGATGTGAAACTGCTTTATGATTTTTTTTTTATATTAGAGATACACAATAAAGGTATAAACTGGAGGAGTGAGCTGTTTTGAAATCTTAGTACCAGTTGGCTTAATCAAGAGAAAGTTAAAATTAAGATTATAATACTCTTTTAAAAATGTTTAAAAGGGGCAGCTAGGTGGCGAAGTACACTGGACCTGAGTTCAAATGCAGCCTCAGACCAAATACTTGTCACTACTAGCTGTGTGACCCTGGGCAAGTCACTTAACCCCAATTGCCTAAAAAAAAAAACTTGTTTGAACAGGAGAAACTAGAGACATTTAATGTAATCAATCACACATTGAGTAAGTGCTCCACTTGAAAATGAATTTAATTCTAACTGTAACTGTCTATTTGGAGCTTGGAATTCATTTTTTCCATAGAAACAAAAGGTTAATTGGGTTGCCAGACTAGTACAAAAGCTGATTGAAACTTTGTTGCTGAATGGATCTATACTCTTTATCATCCAACTTAACATTGTTTCTGTAGGCAAGTGGGTTTTAAGTTTCACTTGAAGATTAAAAAAATACCTAAATTCATGCCACAATTCCAGTCATCAGGGAAGGTGCAACTTCCAGCAGAGGTTTCTACAGGATTTGAGGTTATGAGTAGGTAGAAGCCACAATCAGGAAAAGGAGATATTATACCCTTGCCACAGAAGCTCTAAGTTTCTGCCTTTGGGAAAGGCATTATAGGGGCTTCTTCAACTCTTGATTCTCACAGCTGTGGCAGTGAGGACTCTGAAAGAGGCTTTATCTGCAGATGGGAACTAGAGGGACAGAAGGGAAGCAGCAGCATATTAATCCATTCTAATATGTCAGGTTTTCATAGGGGAGAGGGCTAGCTTTGTACCTTGGATTCAGGTATTGATATCTGGAAATCTAACAGTACCTCCTACAAACTTTCTCAGACCACTTTGTCTAGATTTTTTTCCCATAACTTTTCAACACAATTTCATTTTATACTTAGTTATTTTTCTTAACTCTTCCATTACTAATAATAGTTAACATTTGAATAACACTGGAAGGTTTGCAGAATGCTATCTCGTTGATTCTTAAGACACTCCTGTGAAGTAAGAGGAAAGGAGAAGTTAAGTGCCTTACCCCAGGCTCACTAGTGTCTGAGGTAGGATTCAAACATGAGTCATTGCTACCCAGATATACTAGATTATAATCAATTTAGGCTAAGGTTAATGTGGTTTTTGATCCTAATACCCTAGTATCTAGTATAGCACTTTATTTATTTTGCTTTTTGGTGAGGCAATCAGGGTTAAGTGACTTGCCTAGGGTCACACAACTAGTAAGTGTCAAGTGTCTGAGGCCCAATTTGAACTTTGGGTCCTCCTGACTTCAGAGCTGGTGCTCTGTCCCCTTCGCCACCTAGCAGCCTCTAGTGTAGCACTTTAAACATTACAACTTCTAAGACCTGGCTTTTTAGTAGTATGGCTATTCCTTCCCTGAAGGTCTTAGTGCCCTTTTTGTGAATTTCTCAGCTTCCCCCTCCCCCTCAAAAAAAAAAAATGTCATCACACAGTTGCCAACTTCCTGAATAGGCCAACCTCAAGAATAGGCCCAGTGACAGTTTGCCATCAGAGGACCAGATGGCAAACTGTCACTGGGCCTATTCTTGAGATCTTTCTAGCTTGGTAGATCTACCATATATAGCTTGTGGTACACTGAGGCAGTTTTCCAGAGTCCAGGGTCATGATAGAGTATGAGTGTAGGATTTGAGTCAAGGGCCTTGCATCTATGCAGTAGGGATTTATCAGTGTTTGCTGAATTGAAAATGTCAAGAAATAATTGCTCTTAATTGAATTATTTGAATTGAAATTAATTTAATTGAAAATATCTCTTCCAGGATTTGGCTGATGAACTTGCCCTAGTTGATGTAATAGAAGACAAACTAAAGGGAGAGATGATGGATCTCCAACATGGCAGCCTTTTCCTCAAAACGCCAAAGATTGTTTCTGGCAAAGGTTAGTTTTTTGTTTGTTTTTAAATGAATTTTACTTGCTTCAATTATGAAGTGTTTTTCTTCCTTATACCTTCCCCTACTGGGCAAGAAAAGAAAACTCTAACAAACCCAGTCAAGCAAAACCAACTCCCATATCGAAAAGTGTCTCCTCCTGCATTATTCCATCACCTCTTGCAGTGTTTCAAAATGTAATTCATACAACCTAATATCTGTCATCCTTGTGGAAAATAATTCCTAGGAGTTCAAAGATTTATATTTTTACCCAAATTAGGTGGCATTTTGGCATTGATACCTGTTTGATAATCAATTACTACCTATTTCATTTTCCTGTAAATATTTTTTTAATTAAGATAGTTTGCCCATGACATGGAAGAGATATAATCATTACCTTTCCCCGTCAGATAATTATAGGTTTTTACATCTGAAATTAAATTTATAGCTTCTTACAGTTCTAAACACCTGTCTCTATTTAATTATGTGTAGATGTTTCTCAGTTAACTTGCTGGGTTGACATGATGTCAGTTTCACTTTGAATTGGAAATTAAAAAAGTCAAGGTTGCAGGAAATTCAAAGATGTGTATATAGAAGTTTGTAGGATATCAGATTTTTAGCAATTCTTAGCTATTAAGCAAAATAAGACTAAGTTATCACTTCCACATCCCAGGGGTTAGGGACACAGTCCTGCTTCCCTCCCATTTCGATCTGGAAAATCCTTTAAAAATTTTTGGCCCTCCTTCCTACTTCTCTGTTAGGAAGGAGGGCCATACACCATACTATACATATATTTTATACATTTGAGTTTCTAAACTTTTTATGTGTCATCTGCAGCTTCTGCAAAACTACCAAAAAATTCCTATTTGATTTCTTATACTGACTCTCTGGTATATTGAAATCATGATGGGAAAAGTCGAGATGTGGAATGGATAACTGTATTGTTTCTCTTTTCTCTAGACTACAGTGTGACTGCAAACTCCAGGCTGGTTGTTGTTACGGCTGGGGCACGTCAACAGGAGGGAGAAAGTCGTCTTAATTTGGTCCAGCGCAATGTGAATATCTTTAAATTCATCATTCCCAATATTGTTAAATACAGCCCTCATTGCAAGCTGCTGATTGTTTCCAATCCAGGTAAGATTTGACTGTTAAGACATCTTTTAATACAAACTTGGCTAAAATTCAAAATTTGGTGAACTATAGTAAACTTTGAGAGTCATATTGTAAATATATATTTTTAGTTTGTTTATCAGTTCATTTTTTCCATTTTTTCCTTAGGATTTTATTTCTGTTCTTTAAATAGTTATGCCCTGGGAAAAATACAATACAGAGTTTCATGAAGTTTGTAGGAAGATGTCTCTCCATAAACAGTTACTTGTTAAAGGGCGAATCCTGGTGTGAATGTATGATGCTTTTGTTATAATCTTTTATGCCAGAGTTACATAGGATTATACTAGACCACATCACTATATAAATGTTTGATAGGTTCATTGTGCTATAGATACTACAGGTGTACCAAGAGTGTTGATTAGGCATAGTTTTTATCCTCAAAGCAATTACCTGCCAGAGGACATTAACATTTATATTGTCTACATTTTTTTCTTCACAGTGGATATTTTGACCTATGTGGCCTGGAAGCTAAGTGGCTTTCCTAAGAACCGTGTTATTGGGAGTGGCTGCAATCTGGATTCTGCCCGTTTTCGTTACCTAATGGGGGAGAGACTTGGTGTTCATTCTTCAAGTTGTCATGGGTGGGTCCTTGGCGAACATGGAGACTCCAGTGGTAAGACTATACCACTATCCCATAGAGCTAGGCAAATATTCTAAAAAATGTCAAGGGTTCTATTTTAAAATTGCTTAAAACTAAATCTGTGAGGACTTGTTTATCTGTAAGGAATGGTTTATGAGAACCCCACCTTTTGTTAAGGAATGGGCTAAGTTTTTTGGCATTATTATCTACAATTTAACTGGTAAAAAGTGAAACTTGTCATGAGTACAATTTTTACTAACTTGATTGCAATGGTCAGCAGCACTGGTTTATATTTTACTTGAACTGGCTAGCTCTGAAAAGGTCAGCCTTGTAATTCAAGTAGGATATGATTTATGGACTAAATTCTACCCATACCTATCATGGCTGTTTTTATCTGGAGAAATATCATAATACAGTGGAAAGAATACTTGATTTGGATTCAGAAAAGATCCAAGTTCAGATCTTGGCTCTTATAATTACTTGCTTTGTGACCATGGCAAGTTTATCTCCTAGAGAGCCTATTTATGTTCAAAAAAGGGAATGGTAATTTAAAAAATTTTTTTTTTGGTGAGGCATTTGGGGTTAAATGACTTGCTTAGAGTCACACAGCTAGTAAGTGTTATGTGTCAGAGGCTGGATTTGAACCCAGGTCCTCCTGACTCCAGAGCTCGTGCTCTATCCACTGTGCCACCTAGCTGCCTTGAAGAAATGATAATTTTTACTCTTGGGATTGTCCTAAGAAAAGTACTTAAACTTTAATGTAGCATATAAATGTGAGCTATTAAAACATTTGAAGAATGTTGAAGAATATCTATGTAGGGAACCCCTAAAAATGTTTGTGTACCTGAGTAGTCAACTGCCTAAACCTTTTGCTTTTTTGGGGGGGGACCCAATTAGAAATTAGAGATAATGGGTAATTGGGTATTTCTATACCATCAACTCAAGATCATTGAAGGTATAGTAGAAATTATTCCTTACTAGTTAGTAGAAACTACTATTACTTCCTTTTTTGATCTTATAAGGGGGTCAGATGATGCTCATGAATAAGGAGCTATAGAAAACTAATGTAGTAAATTTGAAAGTGGAACACATTTGAGTATAGGATTAAAAGGAAATACCAAAAAAAAGCAATGAACATTGATAGTATTAATACATTTATTTAGTCTAGTTGCATACAAATCATACTATTCTTGATTTTTAAAAAAGAGAAAATGAGTACATTGGTAGTTTTATCTTTAAAGTATTACATATTATGGAAAAAGGCTTATATAAGAAGCAGCATTGCTTTTCTTTAAGGAGGTTCTCAAAATGAAATATAATGGGGTAGAATTAAGAGATGAATACAAAATTAAGCCATAATTACTAATAGGATGCTTGGAAGTTAATTTGCATGTGTCAGGATGTTTTTTTTCTTCTTAGTTCCTGTGTGGAGTGGTGTGAATGTTGCTGGTGTCTCTCTGAAGAATCTTTATCCTGCTTTGGGAACTGATGCTGATTCAGAGAATTGGAAAGAAGTTCATAAACAGGTGGTTGACAGGTTAGTGAAGATCTCTTAATACTTTAGTAGCAGATTTTTTTTTATCTTTGTAAAACATGAAATTCCAATTTCCATTTGAATGCTTTTATATGGAAAAAATCCAATAAAAATTTTTGTTTAAGGGGGGAGCTAGGTGGCACAGTGGATTGAGCACCGGCCCTGGAGTCAGAAGGACCTGAGTTCAAATCCAGCCTCCGACCAAACACTTGACATTTACTAGCTGTGTGACCTTGGAAAGTCACTTAACCCCAATTGCCTTAAAATAAAAAAAAAATTTTTGTTTAAGAAATGTCAAAGTTCAAATACTTTTAATGGACCCATCATTTTATCAGTGGTATCACCTCTAATTATGCTGTAGGATTCTGGTTCATTTTTTTTCCCCATAAATGCTCCAAAGATCTCTGATGATGAAGTTTCATGGTAGATACTGTCAAAGATTATTATATAAAAGGAACAGGTAAGCTTATTTAGACTTTTTGCACAGCATAAGTTTTATCCTCAACAAAAAAAGTTACTAGTTTCTCTATCTCAAATGCTGTTATTGTAGGGTCTTCCTAATATTGGTGAACATAAAAAAATTAGTACAGTATGTAGGAAAAGCACCAAAAATTTCATTTAAATAGCTCATAAATAATGTTGGAGTGAAATCCTTGGATAGGGAAGATTTCTGCTTTGTAGCATTATCTATTATAACTGTTTTTTGAAAGCTGTGTTTCTGCTCAATCCCTCCCCCAAATAATTTAGTAACTTCTTGTTACTGGCAGTGCTTATGAGGTGATCAAACTGAAGGGCTATACTTCCTGGGCCATTGGCTTGTCTGTGGCTGATCTGGCAGAAACCATTATGAAGAATCTTAGGAGAGTGCATCCAATTTCTACCATGATTAAGGTAGGTATCTATAGGTATCTGTTAAAGATAAATGGTTTTAAATGTATTTGGTGTGATTTGGTTTTTGGGTGCTTCTGCATATAAAAAAATGTTAATAGTCATGTCATGACTGTAGATTTTGGGACTTCACAATGTAGTGATGAATAAATGTTTTATTTTGGATAAGAACATTGGAATACAAATATATTAACAGGCTAGAATGATAGAATGAAGCAAGATGAAATATAATCAAGATAAATGTAAAATCCTGCAATTGGATTTACAAACTCAACTCCACAGATGTTAGAGGAGACATGGCTAGACAGTATAACTACTCACATTTTAAGGTTTCCTCTCAATCTTGTGAGGTAGGAAGTGAGAGTATTTTTATCATCTTACAGATGAGGAGACTGATGTTCTGAGGGTAAATGACTTAACTAGTAATTTTCTGATTCAAGTGTTAAACCTAAGGCTCATGATTTCAAGTCTAGCAGTTTTCCATTATGCCAAGGGGCCTCAGAATAACAGTTGTATGTCTCAGTAATATATAGTGAGTGTCTAGAAGTGAGTGGAGGTGATGAGAGTTCCATTATACTCTGCCTTAGACCACATGTGGAATAGTGTATGTTCTGGGTATGTTATGTTTTAGAAGGGATGTGATAACAAGCTCTGGAATAGCACTTGAAACAGTTTAAGAACTGCTGAAGGGGATTCGAGTGGAAAAAGTTCAAGAAGGCCTGCTCTAGAACGTGTCCAGAAGAAGAGGGCAAGATGAGAACGTAATTCTGCAGAGTTAATGTAAAAGAGGATTAGGCTTGTTCTGCTTGGTCAGAATTAGGACTAAGTTAAAGGGAAGCTGGCTTCAGCCCAACATGGATAAAATTCCTAGTAATAAGAGCTGACTAAAAATAAAATAGGGTGCTTGGGGCAGACAGAGGGCAGAAGTAGTGGTGGGAGTGAGCTTTCCATTCTTGTCTGGAATGTTCTAAATGGAATTCCTGATTTGGGGAAGGGTTAGATAAGACTATAGATATTTTCAGAGGTTCTTCCCAACTTAGTATTTCTTAGTTCATGAATTAGTTTTACTTTAGGGACAATGTCCCTTGGGCATGCTGCCAATTTAAAAAAAAATAAACAAATTATGGTGGCTATAGAAATTTTAACAAATTGCTTTGCTCAAAATACCCTTTTCATAAGAACATTTCATTGAGATAAAATAAAAAAGGTTTCAGCTTGCAAATTGCATTTTGGTCATACATTTAGAATAGAAATGAAAAATGTCTAATCTACTAAGCAGTGCACAAAAAGAAAAATGTATCATTTATGGACAATGTTATCAAGTTAAAATATATAAACGTAGCATTAAAAATGTACTTTAACAAGAAAACATTGGAATTCAATGGGCCTAATACACAGTAATAAAAGGCAAAATTTGTTTTATGTGGGTATATATAAAGTATACTAGTGCTTGTTGAATAGACTGGGAAGGGCGGATAATAGAGGGCAATAGACTTACTTGTTGTTGTTAATCTTACCCATCTTAGGCTAAAGAAGCCGATTAAACGATTCCAACTGCCTCGTTGGAATTATATTTGGCTATTGGACAGAGTAGAAGACATCAGAGTATGGTGTGAAAGAAAGTATGATCTCATTCTGTCTTTCAGGGCCTATATGGCATTAATGAGGATGTCTTCCTTAGTGTCCCGTGTGTCTTGGGGCAGAATGGCATTTCAGATGTGGTGAAAGTAACCCTGAATCCGGAGGAAGAAGGCCGTTTGAAGAAGAGTGCGGACACTCTTTGGGGAATCCAGAAGGAGCTGCAATTTTAAAGCCTTTTAATGTGCTGCCATTTTGCCATAGAGAACATGACAGTGGTTAAGGGGTTATGTATGATGTGCTTTTCAAACAGGTCAAAACCTTCCTCTGACTAGTGATTGAACACCAGAAATGTAAAACCTGTGAACACACTCTCGTCCCTTCCTAAAGTTAGAAATGGGGAATAGTACAGCGTGACTACTATTTGTTAAACCTTGTTGTCATTTGTGTATGATGCTGGGTATGACTTGTATAGTCTTAGTAGCTGGTCTCAAGCAGATCCAGCGCCCCACAGGTGTAGAACTGCCTGCCTTGTATGGAAGTGCTACAGGTTCCCCTAGGGCCAGGAGACAACATTCCTCGATACAAAACACCATATAGTAGTAACACTTTATTGATGCATTGATTACCTTTGTGCCCCCCTCCATTAGGGCTCTACAGCATGGCCCCATGTATCACCTTTCCAGAGGACCTGATTTTGTCTACCTATATATATATATCTATATATATATATATATATATATCTCAATAGTTGTAAATTTCCATGTTATAAAAGATCTATATATGTGCAACGATGCAACCAATTCCTCAAGTGTCATACTAACCCTAAATACTGAATAAACAACAAATAACTGATTATCTCTTTGGTGAATTGTTTGATTCCATGTTAGGCCAAGATGTCAGGATTAAAAGTTTCAGATGTTGCTAGGATATATTAGTCCGAGAAAAGAAAAAACTACAGAGATCAAGATTAGAGGGATATAACAGGTCATCACTGGAACAGACATTTCAATAGATGTGTAATCTCATTAATGTGGGTGCTCCAACAATGTGGCTCACAACCATTCATGCCTCCCTACCTTGAGTAACTCTCGTGTTCTCCTGTAAATCTGGGATCTGCTTAATATGTTAGGAACCTTTCTTCTAGATCTTCTGACATCAAGTGGATACTAATGGAATACATAAGCTGTCATTCATTGGTTATCTTTTTTTCTCACTATGAGACCAGTGTACCTTTAAAATTATCGTTCTTGATAGTTTCATCAGTCATATAATCACAAACATCTCAAGACAAAAAAATTGCAGAAGAGGATCAACCCCATATAGTGTTTTGGTTTTTAAAAATGTGTATTATATGTATGTACGTATAATATATAACAAACTGCTTTATGTTTGACCCTCTCCTCCCATTTGTGCAACTTTTAAGATGATTTATTGATTTTTTTTCCCACATCACTGCCAACCAACCTACCACCAAGTATCAGCTCATTTTTTTTTTTTGCTTAGGTAATCTGGGTTAAGTGACTTGCCCAGGGTCACAAAGCTAGTAAGTATCAAGTGTCTGAGGTTGGGTTTGAACTCAGGTCCTCCTGACTCCAAGGCTGGAGCTCTATCCGCTGTGCCACGTAGCTGCCCCTCAGTTCATCTTTTTTTTGGTCGTACATTTGTCTGACAACATATCCTGTACCATTTCTGCATTATTCTTCCTTTGTAATGTTGCAGCCTATTCTCTATATGTACCTTTATGTTGCACTTTGAATGATTTTCAATTTTAGTTTGCTCATTACTGAGAATATTTCGAAAAGATGGTAATTGGAATCTTGGGTGTGACTTAACTTCCAGTTGAGTACAAAAACAGTAGAGGAAGAACAGAGATCCTCAAATAGCTTTCAACAAACACTTTAGAGCCTACTATGTACAAAAGCCCTGTGGTAAACTTTCATGTTTCTTTTCCCCTGGGAATATACAAAGAAATACTACATATTATAAATTGATAAGAGATCACTTCTGGATGGAGGTAGCAGGAAGAAAGACCAGGGTTTCATAGAGGATTATTTTATCTAGGCCTTAGGCTTTAACAAATAGGATATCAAGGGTGGAGTCCAGCAGGCAACGAGGAGGAAAGGGAATAAAGGGTGTGGGAAACACCTGTGCAAAAACAGTATGCCAAATCTTGACACTAATATTTTTCTACCTGTATGACCTTGGGCAAGCTACTTAACCTCTGTCTCATTTTCCTCTATAAAATGACAGAGCTGAACTAGATATAATCACTGAGGTTCCTTGGAGCTCTAGACCTATGATTTGATGATCCTGGGAACAAACATGTTAATTTAAGTCCACCTAAGCTGGAGCCTATTAGTAGGTCAAGTCTTAGAGGGCTAAGAAGTCTGTACTTGATTTGGTAGAGACAATGGGAAGCCACTATAAAGTTTCATACAGTAGAGTGGTGTAATCACACAGTTGTTCAGTCATGTCAGACTTTCCAACCCCATTTGGGGTTTTCTCGGCAAAGATACCGGAATAGTTGGTCATTTCCTTTTTCAGCTCATTTTACAGATGAAGAAACTTGAGGTAAACAGGGCTAAATGACTTGCCCAAGATCATACAGGTAGTAAGTGTCTGAGGCCATATTTGAACTAGTGTAAATAAGTCTTCCTGACTCCAGGCCCAAAAGAACTGGGGTTTTTAACTGACCACAAGCTCAAAATTAAACCAAGATTATGTGCCATTGCTATTATAAAATGCAATCTTTGGCATAGTAATAAAAATATGGTGTCACTGGTGGAGATATTACTTAAATTCACTGGAAAGTTAAGACATCACCCTCCTGATGTCATTGGTCCTCCGAGAATGAAAGAGGAACGACAATAACAGAAGCCTATGATCCTATTAACAGAAGTAAGGAAGTCAGGAAGAGAAGCAGATTTTGGAGGAAAGATGATGAACTCAATTTGGGATATACTGAATTGGAGATACTGTCCTACCATTCAGGTGATCAATCCAAGAAACGATTTAAAATGTGAATCTGGAGTTGAGAGAAATGAGGTCTGGAGCTCAACATGAATCTTCTGATTAATAGTTGAAGGACAAGATAATAGGATTAAAGGCATAGATGGTAGTAGGGTTATCCTTGAACAGAAGTTGGACCAACTTGTTAAGAGATAGAAGGGAAGGAATATAAAATGGATAAAGAAAAATGGAAGTTTTGATCAAGTCAAGTCAAAACAACATACATTTATTAAGTGTTAACTTTGTGCTAGGCACTGTTCTAAATACATAGAAGAGCAAAAATGGTCTCTGCCATCAAGGAGTTCACAAGTGCCAAGTCCTTGATCCCCATCACTTATGGCTTGCTGAAAGTTTACACCTCTCTGGCCTGAGCTACCCCTGACATCTTTGAGGAACATGGTACTCATGCCAAAGAATGAAATGTCAGTGCTCCCAGAGTCTACACATGGGTCTACATATCAGAACCAAACAAACTCCCAACATTCCCTCCTGTGGTGCACAGAACTTGGCCCACAAATGACATGACCATCAAAAATGTTAGTATCATTTTTAAGTGTCACTGAGAAGCAGGGTCCAAAGCAAAAGAGGTATCATTTTTCTGTGCTCTGCTCTGGTCATATCGGGGATATCACATTCCAGATGAACCATCTCCAAGAAACCAGGGATGTTGAACTTGCAAACAAGTAAAGCAGTCTTCAGGATAACAGTCTTCAAATAGTTGAAGAGGTATCATGTAGAAGCCTTATTCTCTGTGTGTGTGTGTGTGTGTGTGTGTGTGTGCAGAACTACAAGGAAGTAGTGAAAGTTACTGTCAGAGTTTAGCTCCGATATGGAAGAAAAGACTTCCAAACACAGAGTTATCTGAAACTGGAAATGGACTGCCTCATGTGATAAGATTTAATTTTAAGAAATTTTAGAGCTCATCTATTCCATTTTACAGGTGAGGCTTCTGAGGTCCAGAGAGATGTCCAGAGTCACATAAGTAGCAGAGCTATCCATATTCAAAGCCAGATCCTTGGACACCCATGCTTTTCCCACAGCACTACAATAAAGATCAGATTCTCTGGATTTAATGGATTGAGTCTCCCAGCAGATGCTCAAGCAGTTGACATCTCCTACTATTTGTCTAAATGTTAGTTAGTTTTGTGATCTAGAGTTTTATGAACTCTATCACCCATTTTTTTCATCTGATAAAGTGGTCTAAAACATTCTTGAAGAGGCCGTCATTTCTGTTTTTCTCTCTCCTTTATTTTCACTTAAAATTCTTCTGTATATTCCTGTTTTTCTTGGGTCCAAGGATTTTCATATAGATACATTCTTCTTTATTCTCCTCCCCCCAACCCCGCCCAGGTTATGAAGAAAAACATTTCATAACAAAAAAAGTTTTCATGTGCTTAAAAAAGCCCAAACCTTTACCTTGCCATAAACACACTGTTAAAAACGATTTCTCTTAGACCTCATCATACTGGCAAAAGGATAAATTAGCATACTGAAGTTTACATAAGGAAATCATTGCCTGGAACATAACATTTACTGAACTATTTACAAAACAACTTGAAAATTTTTGACAAGAAATCATAAAATATTCTAAAACATCCATATATTTTCACCTAAAGTTACTTTCTATCCCTATTTTTTTCTATCCTTAATTTTTATCACTTCTATAACAATTATATCTTTTTGATAGGCAGGGGGTAATTGCCTTAAAATTATTTTTTACTATTTATAAAATTTGAGCATCTTCACTTTCTTGATTTCTTTTAGAGTTTAATATTCTTCTTTGCTATCTGGTTGCTGTTATTCTATTTTGAACTTCGGGTAGATAGTTAAGTCTCTTTTAGGATGTATTTTCTTCTAGAACCAAAAGTTCTTTCCTGTGAGTCAGTATCTTCCTGATTATCACTTTACCTTTTGGACCAAATTTCATTACCCAATAAAGTATTATTTTCTGAAGCATTATTATTATTTAGAATCTGGTTTGTGTTATTTTGTTTTAATAGGGTGCTTCCTTCTCTTAGCAAAGCGGATAGAGATGGATCCTTCTTGACATTAATTCTAGGTGTCCTGTCAAATATTTTTTATCTACATACTTTAAAATGTGTTTCTTTTGAACAAAGGATATGCTTACATCATATTTCAATCAAGTCCTATCCTACTGAGAATCAATGGTACCTGTGAGGTCAGATTTGTCACTTTGCTAAAAATTCAAGTTCACCTGATTAGAAGTAAAGGAAACAGAACTAGAAAAATGATATACACAAGGACTATAACAATGTAAATGGAAAGAATAACAAAATACTAACAACTGAACACAGGGCTAAAAAAGGATCAACTGGGCCCCAAAGAAGAGATAGGAAAATATACCTCCCATTCTTCTTTTTGGAGGTGAGGACATTATGGGTATATTGTCTGACTGATATTTTGGCTAGTTACGCTGATTTTTTTCTTCTTTGTTAAAAGGGATGGCTATTTGGGGGCTGAGAAGATGATACTGGAAAATGAAGGTGATATAAAAACAAAAGAGAACAAAAATTTAAAAGTTCACATTATCCATACTCTGGAATATGCATTGTTCTCACACTTTTTCCACGTTATTTGAATTCTGAGTTTGAGTTCTGAGACCAAAAAAAACAAACAAGCAAACAAACAAACAAACAAAAACAACTCCAAAATACAGTTCTTGCTCTCCAGGCATTTTAATCACATATAAAATTTAAAGTGGAAGATAGCTACAACAATCAGGGGTTTTAGGAAAGGCATATTCTAGGAGGTGGAACCTGAGATGTGGGTTTTCTTTTTAATTCTGAACTTAGCAAACATCAAATAAAAACAAGCCCTTCCGTACG